TAACTGATGAGAGAGTCACTTTGCACCGCGGTAGAAGTCAAGTCAGTTTTTTCCTGAAAGCCTAGCCCAAAAATCACAAAGAACATCTGTGCAGCATACAGCAGAATGAAATAACCCATATGGAACTGACCCCGTAAGTATTTGCATTGCTTTCCTCTTCGCAAAGGCACAGTCAAATAAACTTTAAGCTGCTTTTCAAGACAAAAACAAGAATTCAAACTGGCAGGGTGGTCTTCAATGACTGACTAAACCAGCGGATGGAAAATGCTCCAGTAAAGAGAGGTAATTCAGTTAAATGTTAGCTTTCCGTTCCCCCGGGGAGGGGAGCAGAGTAACAGAGGGGGCGGGGGGATGCTCACATGTATGATTTGATTCTGGGCCAGATCACATGACGATGCTCCACGTTCAGCGTTTTTATTTGATTAGAAATAAATGATGAGCCAAACTGGTGATATAAATGAACGTTGGCTTAAATGTTTTTTATTGTGGAATTTTATTTTATTATTGTTTTTTTTGGTGGGAGAAACACGCGGTTCAAATCAATTAACGTCACGTGATTGATCTCGTGGTCCCTGTCAGTAATTTGAATCTTGAGGGGGGGTTTGGTTCGGTTTTAGTTCTTCTTCCCTGGAGGGAATCAAGCAGAGACTCGTCACTTTAGTCCCTGAGGACGGATGTTTAAAGGAGGGACTCAACTAATTGACCACATTCAACCAGCTCAGTGTGACGACTCGAAGAGACAGTGAAGATTAACTTCCTGTTTTTATTTTTGTAACCACGGCACTTCCTGTATCTAGTTTCTCACCCTTCGTTTCTCCCCACAGCTGAGTTTAGTTTGCAATCACCTCCACCTGTATTTAAGCCTCAGTTCCCCACTTGTCTGTGTCAGGTTATCGTTTGTCTTTCCTAGAAGTGCATGTTTGAAATTCCCAGTGCTGTTCCTTTTTGTTTCTACAAGAGCGTGTGGATTCCGCCGTTGCCTGTGCACCCTTTCTCTTGCATTAGTTTATTTTTCTAGTAAAAGATTCCAAACCTGGAAAGAAGTTTCTGTTGCCTTATTGCTCTGCACCTGAGTCGAAGTCCTGACTCCTCACACTCAGTATGAAACCAATAAAACATAAGACATGTAGGTTTACGGAATAGAAACATGTTGTAGCAGGATAATGAACATATAGACATACATGTGTAAAACGTGATGTTATGTGTTAGTTATTTCAAAGTATTATTGAATAAGTGTTGTGTTATTCAAGACATGTGAAAGTTATGGAAAAGCATGTTATTAGACTCTACCTCGACTAAAGACTAACAAATTGTAGCACTTAAATTGTACTTGTAACGTCACTCATCTATAGCAAATTGTAAATTGGCTTATTTGAGGAAATCGCACTTTCTTGTTTCTTGTTCTCCTGAGTTTGTTTCCTATGGTTGAATGCACTTATTGTACGTCGCTTTGGATAAAAGCGTCAGCTAAATGACATGTAATGTAATGTACTATAGACCCAGTGTACTAGCTAACATTTTAAGGTTGATTTTTTTTAAAAAGAAATTGTGCAAAATAGTTTTAATAGCATCTATAACCGAGTCGTTACTTTTTTATATTTTATGCCATAGTACTTTTTGCTTATATCTTTTCCCACCTAAAGACAAAAAAATGTCTGCTGCTGCACACATAAAAATAAATATGAATAATAAGGAGAAAGTGTACCGCACACGATGGTTTGAAAACCCCCTGATGTCAAACGTCAAATGAGTCTAAAGGGATAAAAAGGGACAACATCTCTTAATTTGACTGTAACCCAACTGAAGGCGACGTCCTTCATATAAATACGTTATATTCGGCGGATGCATCAACCAGCAATGCAACAGGACTCTAAAAATGTTCCTTGTAACGTCGTCAAACGTCCACAGGGGAGCAGAATGCACCAGCAAACCACAGAGACACGAAGCTCATCGCACAGTGTGCACACGTCTACGCGCGCGTGTGTGTGTGTGTGTGTGTGTGTGTGTGTGTGTGTGTGTGTGTGTGTGTGTGTGTGTGTGTGCATTGTGTGTGCATCGTGTGCGCTGGAGGAGGGGGGCGCACGGTGCGCGCATGGACGGAGAGGTGACAGAAACGGGTATTTGCGCACAGTTTGTGCGTTCCATTCAGTGAGACGCGATCAGACCGAACAGAAACGGGTCCGTTCTATCTACTCATAGCCTCCGGGAGTTTAATCATTCAAAAGTATTGAGTTGTCACAATTAACCTCAATCCAGGACACGCGAGGGCAGCATTCCATACGGAGAGTCGGGGGGGGGGTTGTGCTCATTAGCCTTTTTAACTCTGTCATTATAATACAAGCACACGTCAGCATCCATTCCCAGAGAGACGTCCTGCTGGCCGGCTGTGAGAGGCCGGATCAGACGGGAGGGGGGAGAAGGAGGGAGGCACGGGAACGTCCTCCTGAGTCAGCGCCACGACGCGCGCACGGCACGCGCTCCCCGTCCGGCCGCCTCTCTGCGCGACGACCAGCATCCTCTGCTCTTCTGCTCAAGATGGCGGTGCAGGCGGCGGAGAAGGACGCAGTGGTGAGGACGTTGTCGGCGGGAGGGTGGGGGGGGGTTCTTGTGTCCACGTCCCGTCCGGTGCGCGCGGGGCGGATCCGATGAATTATTTTAATCCGCAGCGACGCGCGTCGCGCGCCTTTTTCCCGGTAGAATCTTTCGTTTTGAGGGAAATCCGATATGTTGGAGGTGAAATGTATCGGCCGTGTGTGTGTGTGTGTGTGTGTGTGTGTGTGTGTGTGCGCGTGTTACACTGCGGTGTGTTTGTATGAATTTGAGCTCACATGTCAGACCAGGTCGTCATCGTTGGGGAACGTGGTCGATAAACGGGCCCGCGGTGCCGCTGTGGCCCGTTCTATAGCCCGCGTTTACCTGGTGGGTGTTTGTTGTTGTGTGTTTTTGCCACAGGTGTTGAAGAACGTGGAGGATGAGCACCTGAACGACTCGCCGGGGAACCCCGGCCTCATCTCACCTGACAAGGGGGACATATCTCGTCTTCTGGTACGAGAACCGTCTCTGTAAAAGTCCCGTATTGGTTTTTTGATGCATCGCTAATGAATAAAAAAACACAATTATCTCCCTTCGCTCTGCGCAGACGGTGCCGTTCAGCGGGCGCATCCGGGGCGGCATGCGGCCCGGGAAGAAGATCATGGTGATGGGCATCGTCGAACTGGAGCCAGACAGGTGAGGCGATACTAAATGCTCCTTATCTGAAGGGCCCAATCATCTCTCTGTTCTCAACATGTCAAAGAGATAAGCTTTGTCAGCAGTCGGATCTGGACTCTCTGGTGGCTTCTTAAGTGTCTGAGACAGGGCGTTCCCCAAAGAAACAGCAGGGAGGGAAAGGGGGGGCAGACTTGTTTGGGTGTGTCCTTCATGGAAACTTGTGTCAAACTGGAATGGAACCGCTCCATGACGTCATCGCGTTGAGAAGCTGTGCTGCCACTAGTTTTCATGCCAAAGTTCACGTGGCTGACAGAGCGCTGCAGCACAAACGGCTTCCCTTTGTTCCCACCAAGATCTATCCATTGTCCCCCCCCCCCCCAATCTGGAAACATCTTCCCCAGCATTCTAAAAATTCTCCATCTCTCTCCTCTTTCAACAAACTGCACTTTAAAATTGGCTTGGCCTGTGACCTTCTTTTAAACGGCTGTACAAATAACATGGGAAATCATTTAGAAGATTATTATGGGCTAGTTAGCATGGCTACACAAACACTCACCCACACCCCAAAGGGAAAGCTGCAGGGGTAAACCCCCAACCATTAGCATGGATTATGGCTAATTAACACACAATGTGTCTGCAGCAAGCAGAAACTCTGCGTGTGACCTATCCTGGGATACTCACTCCTATGCTGGCTAATCTGAACCCCCACCACCCCTAATCGCCCCCCATCCACCCCTCTCCACCTCTCTCTCCACATACACAGTTTTGACGTGAGCTTGACCTGCGGCCGAGACTCAGAGAAGGACGGGGCTCCACACGACGTGGCCCTGAAACTCACCGCCCGCTTTGCCGACCGCCAGTTCCTGCGCAGCGCCCGCATCTCCGGGAAGTGGACGGTGGAGGAGGCGTCCACGGACTACTTTCCCTTCATCGCCGATCAGCCTTTCAGGGTAAAGTTCCCTTTGTATTTTTCAAAGATTGTGCGACACCTCTGTTCCTCATTGTCATGGTTACGGTTTACCTTTCCCTAAACCCCTGAATCTTATTTCCTAACGACTATTATTTTGTTAACTCCACAAATGAGTTAAACCTGCATTCTCTGTAGTGACCAGCAGGGGGCGACTCCTCTGCTCCCATAGACGTCTATGAGGAAATGACTCTACTTCTCTGTAGTGACCAGCAGGGGGCGACTCCTCTGCTCCCATAGACGTCTATGAGGAAATGACTCTACTTCTCTGTAGTGACCAGCAGGGGGCGACTCCTCTGCTCCCATAGACGTCTATGAGGAAATGACTCTACTTCTCTGTAGTGACCAGCAGGGGGCGACTCCTCTGCTCCCATAGACGTCTATGAGGAAATGACTCTACTTCTCTGTAGTGACCAGCAGGGGGCGACTCCTCTGCTCCCATAGACGTCTATGAGGAAATGACTCTACTTCTCTGTAGTGACCAGCAGGGGGCGACTCCTCTGCTCCCATAGACGTCTATGAGGAAATGACTCTACTTCTCTGTAGTGACCAGCAGGGGGCGACTCCTCTGCTCCCATAGACGTCTATGAGGAAATGTCTCTACTTCTCTTATTCCCTCAGTAAATATTGTAAACCTGAGTTTATGGTCTCAAGTTTCAAGTTCAATGTTCATTTAGTAAATGATGGTCCATGTAGAGTCAAACAGACCATGGGGATGCTTTGGGGCGGGGCTACACGCTGATTGACAGGCCTCTACCAGTGACATGTAGGCGTCTCTACGTCCTTAAAATAGCCAACTAGAAAATTGCCATATTTCAAAAAGCATTGAATGGCTGAACTGTAGGCTTCATAACATCATCGCACAAATCAAAGCACGACGTCACCATGACGACGTTCGCTACATGCGTTTTATGGTGTCGCTGTGATCATCTCTATCCTGATTCCAATAAATCGCATGTTTTCCGGCAGTGAGGAACTTGAGGGGCAAAGTGGAACCTCATAGAGCTGCTACATCACACCCATCTACTCGGCTTCTCATCCCTGTGCTGCCTCGGGGTCATGTGCTGTGTGTCACGCATGATAAGTAATTCTCATGAGACCCGAGGACGTTTCTGCTCTGATAATTCTCAAAATGCTCATGAATGACGCATATGGTGTTTGCCCTAAAAATATCTTCCCGGCGTGGACGTACCGGCCTTTAACGCAGAGAGCCTCCCCTCTAGAGCTGATCCCAGCGCCTTGTTACGCAACGCGGCCCCGATGAGGCGTCATTGTCCTGTGAGCGAGCAGCAGATTAAGGCGGTCACGCTGAGGAGTCCTGTGGCGTGTGGTCAGACGTGTGCTTTCTGCTGTGGCAGTGAGTGCACACTCAGAAGTTTCCTTCGGCGTCTGCTCGTGTCAAGGCTTCACCTTCAGCTTATTGGACAGAATTCCGGTGGTTTGGTACGAGTTGAAACCCTGTTTGTGTGATTTAGATTCATCTCCGTCTCAGATTGTGCTGTTATTCCCCCCATGATGATGAGAGGCGCTGCAGGTGGAATGAACGTAGACTTCGACCCGTCAGACTCGATTGAGACCCTTTGCTCTTCTGTGAACTGATTCAATAATGAGTCTTTTATTTTGCACTTGCAGATCGAGATCCACTGCGAGCACCAGAGGTTCCGCATCTTCGTGGACGGACACCAGCTTTTTGACTTTTATCACAAAGTGAAATGTTTCTCCTCCATCGACGCGGTGCAGATACAAGGGGATCTACACATCACCAAGCTCGGTTAGCCCCGCCCCTCCCGCGTGAGCCCCGCCCCTCTCATGTGTGTGCGCGTGTGAGGCCAGGACTTGACCACACACACACACACACACACGTGTTTGCGTCTGTTATGATGTCATCCATAACCCATCATGCAACACTGCAGCAGAATAACAACTGGCAAAGGGCTGCGGTGGCGACAACGTAGTGTTCTGCTAACTTTTGATTCCCTCGTACTTCTCTATTGATGCTTTTTAGAGAACAAATGTGTTTTTGTCTTTGTAGCCCCGGTTCTGGTCCGATCAGGGATGTCACAGCTTATTAACAGCACATTCATTTTCATGCCGGGGTAGAGGCAGGTGTGGTGCTATGACGGATGGAGGAATAACTCAGGAGTTACTCAGGAACAAATTCCACACTCTGAGCAGCTAATGAACTTATTTTACTTCTCTTCATAAACTCGTATTGAATTAACTGGAAAATGCATGTTGATCGAGCTGAAAGAAAGTCACTGTTCACAGTTTGTGACCCAAATCCTGCACAATTCTGAAGAATCAGACTTGACCTTTTTAAAATATCCGGAGCCACAAACAGGAAAGTGTTGCAGGTTGTTCAGATTAGTTACATTTATAATTTCCTCTAAGACTCAAATATCCTGCTCTCAATTCAATGCTGTATTACGTGTTTTCTCTGTGCCGATGCGTCTCACAGCTCCGTAGGCGGTTCCCCTGCCCCCCTGCTGCATTATCCCAGTTGTCATGGTAACACGGCGCAGTCTCACCGACCCAAATCCTCCCCAAAACGAGGATTATACCGTGACGAGATGTCGTACTGCACTGCGTGTCGGTAGCATTAGCGATCACTACTCCTGAAGATACTACGTCCTGTGCGGCTGAACAGGAAGTAGAATTATGTGGGTTTTACTCTGAAGGACAAAGACGAGCTCTAATTAAACAATAGACCAATATGCAACTAACTCTCATTCGAAATAATCTTTCTTCAGAACCCGTTTAGAATGAACTGAGGTCAGCGTGTGCAGGTGTTCAGGTCCTGCTGGCCTATCGAATGTAAAGTATTCATGTTTCTATAGTAGCATAGAAGATATAGTGAAGCAAAGAATTATTACTTCCTGTCTGTTTTTGGTGTCATGGCCGGTGCTGTTTATAGTCCCTTTCACAGTGAAGTCTTAGTGTTTCCTCCATCCTTCCACAGACGGATGTTATGTCCTCGTTTTAATGCCGCCAGCAGCTTTTCTCACAAGCAGATCTTTTGAAGGAAGTCACCGTTTTAAAGTATAATGTCTGTTTACGCCTCTTAAGAGTATCTCCCGTCACACGCCCAGAGAACGAGGTTTAGAAGTTGATAGAATGGAGTTTATGTTCTTTTAATGAGTAATACACTTTCATAGATGCTGTTATTGTTTAAAACAGATTTTGGGTTGTGACAAAACCTTTTGTGTTTCTTTTATGTTTGGCATGAATTCAGTTATAGATGTCGGTAAACATGTTCTGCAAATGGTCGACGGGCTGCTGCATGAAGAAACGCTATGAAGACAAAACTAAACCTGGCAACCCGTTCGTTGTTCCTATTAATGCCTTCTGATCATCATGATAAGACACGAGTAAAGCGTTTATTAAGCACGGATAAAGTCATTTTTTGCAACTTCTTGGAAGGCTACAGCTTGGTCAGGGTTGGCGAGGTCGAAGGTCATATCAAACGTTTTAAGAAGCCGGTTCTGACACTTCCGCTCGGATCTCATCCGCCTCCCTGCTGCTGGGAGTTTGGAGTAAACCAGGGAGTCTTTCCGTGCGCTTACACACACACACTGACTGTTAGTGAAGTTACCTGTAATAATGTTAATATTCATCATGTATAATCATAAATCCGCAGTGTGTTTCATGCATGTGTTGCAGATTAGACTTTTTCTGGTCATTATTATTTTATTTTAGAATAAATGCTTTTTGTAATTTTTAAACAAAGAAAACCATCAAAAGTTGTTTGACTGCAGCTTCTTTCATGTAAATATTCTCTGGTTTCTTCAGTTAACGGTCTTTGGGTTGCTGGATGTGGTACTGTCGCACTTTAAAGAAAACAGAGAAGGTAAAAACCACACGTTGGGTACGTGTGCTTCCAGCCTCGCAGTGACATCCAACGATCCTGCAGAGCCACAAAATGATTCTCGCCTTTAAACTGTTCTTCTAATTCTCATTTCACCCTTTAAAAGTGCAACTGAATGTCATCCTGATTGTAATCTGATTATAAATGCTGTTCATGTGTGAAATATGACCCCCCCGTTAGAGACGAGGCGTGTCTGTGTGGTGACCTGCTCCTGGGCTTTGTGCGTTCATATTCATGAAGGAGTTGTGTTGTTACTACACGTTGAGTTACCAGTTTTCATTCCAGTAGAGATTGATCTGTTGTTTTTCTTTCCTTCTTCGTGTGTTTTCAAGGGCAGACTTTTACTTCCACTTGCCTTTTTTTTATAACCTCGTATTTATAGGATTCCAGTTTTCCAAATGAAAATCTTTGAAACCCCCTGACAATAAATTATCTAACGCTCAATGAGGTCCTAAAAAGTGCAAAAAACCCACATGACCGGTTGTGTGGTTGTCACATGTTGTCATCTGTCTTCTAAGGTGTAATAACCAGCGTGTGTGTGTGTGGTAACCTCACACCTTCTGTATTTGGTAACATACTATCTTATGCTGTTTACATGAAGCCATCTTGAAAAAGGCTTTTTTATCTGCGTCTTTACAGGTCAAATGTGACATATTGAACAAAGATTCCTTTCTTTTGGTGGTAAAACATGTTTGTACCTTGTTTTGTCTTCTGGATGTCACCGATCTGTGTGTTCAGGTGACGTGTTTATTAAAGACCTCTCCAAATGTTCCGTTTATTTCCTCCTTGTGCTTTTGTATAAAAAAAGAAACGGCTAGTCTGCAAACCAATAAACTTCTGATTTTGGGAATGTTCTCGTACTTCAGCGTCTTTGTATACAAATGATTTCTTTTTGTGTTTATTTGAGGTTCACCATACTAGCGGGAAAACGTTGACATGGTTGGTGCAACAGAAATGACAAACCTCTAGATTTCAGTATAATTGTGTACTACTTCAAACTAATATAGTGAAACACCTTAAATATTCAGAAATCAATTAATGTTATTTTATTTTTATAATTGACAGATACACACTAATTTGTATGTTAACTTGTAAGGTGAATTAAAACAATAACCAATATGTTTTTATTTCAGTAAACGCAACACAGACTTTTTTCTGAGCTTAATTTAAATATGTATTTCTTTTTGACAACGACGTATTTAGTCAGTAAATACAAAAGGTTTAGTTTGCACTACCACATATATTTAAATATTCATATTCTGGAATGTATATCTTAGATCTATGACATTTAATAAGTAATTAAGAGAGAAAGAGGTCTCTAGGATTATGCAGAGCTAAATATAAAAGACTGCAAAACAACAAGCTGCTTCTTCCTGTAAAATCTGAGATAAAACCGTTCGACAGGGAAAAGATGCAACGATTCAACACCCAATAGAGAGAATAAGCCTGGAGGCAGTGGAGCGTATTTCCATGTCGGACAGACGGCCCGAGGTTCCCGCCCTCAGGAGGAGGGAAATCCCAACGTGGAGCAGATCCAGGAGCAGTTATTCCTGGAGATCAGAGAGGAAGAGACAGACCTCTCGGCAACGCCAGCGGCATTTATAGCAGCGGGTTGCCTAGCAACGCTATAGACCTACACAGTGCGTGTCAATCGTTTTTAAGATGGAAAATAAAACCGTACTTTATTTCTATTTCTATTTGTATTGTATAGTGACGTCTTAGCATGCGGGTGGAAATCTTCCTCCGTGCGTCATGACGTCCAACCGGAAGCAATGACTAAACGGTCGGGTACCTTGTGTTGGTGAATTCAGCGGCTTCTTTTCGGAGAACTTGCAAGTCCCGAGGACTTTGGTTCATCTTCTTGCAGTGCATTTTGTGCTCCGGCTTTACGTTTCCCGTTTAGCTCCATCATGTCGGAGACGCAGCTGCTCAGACTGCGGGTCAACGAGCGACTGGCGGCAGCCGTCGAGGAAATCTTCGGACTCGTAGAGAACACGATAATGGAGTATAAGGAGGAAGCTGTCCGCTCCAAGAAAGAAATCATCCAGCTGAAGCAGCAGATCGAGCAGCTGACCGTTTTAAAACCAGAAGTTCTTCTAAACAGATCAGGTTTGTGTCCGAGTCAATGGGACCCTGGCCGGTTGCCATCTAAGGTTGGCCTTAGGCCGGCTAGTACGTAGCGTTAGCCTTTAGCTAGCTGCCAGGTAGCGTTAGCCTTTAGCCGGTTGCTATGTGGATTGCTATGTGGTTTTAGCCTTTAGCCGACTGCTATGTGGCTTTAGCCTTTAGCCGACTGCTATGTGGCTTTAGCCTTTAGCCGGCTGCTATGTGGATTTAGCCCTTAGCCTGCTGCTAGGTAGCTTTAGCCTTTAGCCGGCTGCTAGGTGGCTTTAGCCTTTAGCCGGCTGCTAGGTGGCTTTAGCCTTTAGCCGGCTGCTAGGTGGCTTTAGCCTTTTGCCGGCTGCTAGGTGGCTTTAGCCTTTTGCCGGCTGCTATGTGGTTTTAGCCTTTAGCTGGGTGGCTTTAGCCTATAAGCGGCTGATAGTTATTGTTACCTGTCGAGTGTTGAATAGCAGCTCTCATTGTTCACTGGTTTGTGACAAATAGTTCAGCTAAGTTGTTAGAGGAAAAAAATTAAGACACAATAAACACGTTCATAAGCAGTAATTTAATTGTAACGGCGGGGATGGAGTTTTCCTTTCCACCTTTTGGCGCCAACTTCCGGTTCTGTCCAGTGAATCCAATGCGGAAGTGTCTTAAAACTCGTTTTGACCACAATAAAATGAAGCCGAAATGTATCTACATCCGCACAGAAAATGTATATTTTAAAATAGCAAAACATTGACAAAAACAAACCCATGCTGTGGTAATATTAGGCTATAAGTTATGTACGTTATTCCTTGTAAATACAGAATTGCTCCTGTTAAGCACATAATAAAGGAGGTTTGCAAAGCGGTGCAATGTGAATAGATTTTGCAGACATATTAAATTCGTCTTTCTAGTCCAAAAAGTCTTGGATTTTTCAACACGTGAAGAATAGAGAAAAGTGTGTGTGTGTATTTATTTTTTAAGCTGCAGTCATGGGAAACTTAATGAATGTCTTTTAACATCCCACTGGATGGGTTCATTGTTGTGGCCAGTCCACCTGTGAAATAATCATGCTCATTCATCAGCAGGAGCACATAGGAGCACATAGCCCTGGAGAGCTTTGGCTGTGGTTTTTAGGTATGTGTGTGTTCGATGTCACTGGATTATTTAATAGGTTATAACAAGTCTTCATTCTCTTTGTAGACACCAGTCCGGTTTCTGAAGAACTGCCTCCTTCATTGCAGCAACGATTCATTAAGAGAGAAGAGATTCTCCTTTTGGAGGAAACCGAGATCCAGAATCCCGCACAGATCAAAGAGGAGGAGGTGGAGCTGTGCATTAGTCCAGACATGGATGCTGACACGTCTGACGAGGATGAAGTCAGAAATCCTAATTCAGACCCTAACTCTGAGCTTTTCATGGCTCCCACGGCTGAAACGAGTAGCGTAAACGAAAGCGTAGACGAAGAATGGAACGAAAGAGATGGCTCATCTTCCTCCCGCCAGGGTCGAAGCGTCGAGGTCTTTGTCGGCCTGGAACAGCCTCCGAGAGGGGACAAGTCCTGCCGTTTTTGCGGAAAACACTTCAGGAAGGACTCTTTCCTTATCAGACATGTAGCCAAGAGTCACAAAGGGCACAAAGCCTTTAAATGCCTGGAGTGCAAAAAGGAGTTTGAACAAAGGTACCATATCATTCAACACATAAGAATTCACACCGGCGAGAAGCCCTTTAGATGCGACTACTGTGACAAGACATTCGCTCAGAACTCCAGTCGTATTGTACACATGAGGGTGCATACTGGAGAGAAGCCATATTTTTGTAATAAATGTGGCAAAAGTTTTGCCATCAGCAGTCACTTGAGATTTTGCAAAGGTACAGAAAAGAAAAGCAGCCGCGACTTTCGCTGCTTAACATGCGGCCGATATTTTCAGAGCGACTCAAACCTGAAGGTGCACATGGAGATTCACGAGTCATGGAAACGGCACATGAGTGAGAAACTACAAGAACAGGATGTAGAAGAGGAGAACCCTTAAAGCTGTGTGACGAAACGTTGCTATGGGTCACCAAATGTTATTCTTAAAATGTACTATTCTGTGGTCTTTTTATCAACTACAATCTCTCAAGCATGTAAAATAACATTGCGCCATATTCCTTTGTTTTGGATGTGTGTTTACGAAGGAGCAGCAGGTCACTTTGTCCTTGTAGAAGCTGATGTATAGAAGCAAACTGAGCATGACAATAGTCACAGGACCACGTATGTGCTTTTTATTTTTTAGAAAACCCTGCTCCTTGTGCCTTTTTTTTAAGCAGCCATGAAGCTGGAACACATGTCATCTGGTGTAGGACGTTGAAATGATTCACTGTAAAACTAACTTTGGGGAGGAAATATTCACTCAACGGTGTCTTGCTACAGAGAAAACCTCCCCAATCATCAGCACACTGTTCAGTGAAATATGAATAAGATGATTAGAGGAAAACGATGACGCTAACAATGCAGGAACACATGACATAATATTACGATCTCCTCACACCTCCCTGGTGAAAAACAATCACATGATCAAAACTCTTCACTCCTTCATTTCAAAGGAAAAGTACACTGTACGGTGCACTGCCAACGTTTGTCCTGGATTTAAAAATCAACGGCCAAACTGCCTTAGATGATTTCATCAGCTGGGTGGTAATAAACAGCATTAGTACGGCCTGATAACTCAAATAACACAGTATTTGTGAAACCATGGTGAACATCCATTGTTGTTGATTTTTGTTTTTATTAAAACAAAAATCATGTTATGTGAAATATGTCATCTAATACTTTGTCCTTTTGTGAATAAAGATTATACCCATCACTGTTGTTTTGGCTTCCCTTCCCTTCTGAAATGAGCCGAAGAATTGAACACAGAGACCCTGAACCTATTTCAGAACCATGAAAGCTTCTTTCAATAGCAGCAATACTACTAAAAAAAGTTAGTACTTTCTCTGCCCACTGGTCCCTTTCAGAGAGGAACGTTTTAATCGTTACTGATGCTTACAAAGGGTAAGTCCTATGTAAGTTAACCAACTCCAGTTTTCAGATAAATCCTATACAGTAAAAATGTATTATGTCTCTCGGAAATATGCTTGTATATATATATATGCTATATGCTTGTAAAAGAAACTAAAAATACTCGAGTTGAGTACCGGTAATTGTACTTTCCTTCCACTGATGCATAACTTGTTCGAGGCTAAAACAAAAGAGGTGCAGGATCAATTCTCTCCACCAGGAGGTGATATTGCCCGTCGAAATAAAGATCGTCTATTTTCAAGCGGTCCCTCTCTGGTCAGTAAAAACGTCCCGTAGTATTTTAGGAGCCTAGATGTTATTCCGCAGTGACTTCAGAATAAGAGCCATTTGTCAGTAAAGAAATGGTACATTCATTTACTAATTCAGTCAATGAGTATACCATAGATACATTTTTAATAAACAGCACTTATGAATGAACGATAAATTATACTATATTTATTGTGATTGACCTGCAGTGAAATTATTTAGTAACCATTGCCCTCCCCTTTAACATCTAATCTGAAAATATAAGTAAATTGGCCAATGAATGAGATTTTAAAGGTATTTTATTCGGAAACTCTACATAGGAATGTTCTGATATTGTCTGAGATGGTCTGCCATCGATCCAAAGTGCATCTGGTCTATTTGTGAAACCTTGAGGTTTCTCAGGATGTGGCCCAGAATTTACTAACTGCATCGCGAATTGCAAAGGTCCTAAAAAAGAAGGTCCAAATGGACTCTTTGACTAAATGTGATGTAATTATCAATAAAAGTGTGTACTTATTATTCAGTATACCCCAGCAGCTTTGGATAAAAATACCCAAATATACTGAATTAGTAACTTTGTGAAAACCAATGTCATTCTCAATAAATGTGGCTGTAGTTTACTACTGTCATTTTTAAATCATGCTGGTCTGCATACGTGTACTCTTTATTAACATATTTGAGTAAGTATTCACACACTTGGAATTACATTTTCTTTGAAAACATCAGCAGGTCGTAATCATTGCGCATAATGTCTTGATCCTGGTGTTGGGCTCTTATTTTGAAGTCTCAGAAGCACGAGCCAGGCTTCACAGGCCGCAGTGAGGCCTCTGCTCGTTGTCCTCTCTGGTGCCGGAGAACGGGGCCGCAGGATGGAGAGCCGGAGCTGCGGCACAAGAGACAGACGCCAAGCAACGAGACGTCAAAGGGACGCAGTGCTGGTAAATGAAACGGAAGGACGGCTCTTTGTGTGCTACAGCTAGCCGTTAGCCCCGTTTGAATGGCGTGCCCACGGTTAAGCTAGCTTCGGCTACACTAGCTAGCCGCGACGTAACGGTTAATTATCCCCGACCAGCTTATCTTAGCTTAGCTTCTGCATCCCGGGCTCTTCCGTTTAATTAGCTCAACGGGCAGCTGACACCTGTCACCTGTCCTTCCACCGAGAAGAAGGAAAAGAATTGCAGGTTTTGTTCCTGCTGTAGTGTTCTGACCAAGCCGCGTAATTATGTGGTGTAAAAGAGGGTAAGGATGCTAATGAAAGGCTTCGTTTAATCCAGGGACCAACCAGTGTTCATCCGAGCTGCGGATCATGTGTCCTGGATCAGTTTACTGGAAGCTGCCTGTGGCTTTTTATTCCTCCGCAGGATCAGCAGCAAAACCGCTGCTAATGTGGAAATGACGCAATGAAGCTGTGCACGTTCCTCTGTTTCGAACTTGGTACTGAATTTCTGAACTAAGCCATCTCCAAATGATCGAAATGAATTTGACTTCTCTTGGGAGGTTGAGCCTTTTGTCGGACATGAAACATGTACATGTACCTTGTCTTTGAGGGTCAGTGTGTGACCTTCCAAACAGGCATAACACCGGAATGACATCGTGCTCTCCTCCCCCAGGTGCATGAGGCCCTCAGGTGCTGCTAGGAGAACCCATGGAGCCAGACGCCGCCCCCCTTCACTCCTCCTCGCCACCTCCACCAAACGATGCCGGCGAGGAGGAGGCGGGATCACCGGAGCAGGACGAGGAGTTCGGGGGGTTCTCCGTCGTGGTGTCCTGCTCTCATCCCGTCTATGCCGATCCCACTGATTCACCGTCCACGCTCAGGCAGCCGTGTGCCACCTCAAAGCCAGCCGCCCGCCAGCCCAACGGGGGCCTTAATCTCCCAGTTGAACAGTCCCAACCCAGGTGCTCCGTGGAGCGGAGGGATTGTAATGCAGCCCCCCGCGTGCACCTCACAAACGGGTTCTTTGGCGGAGACCCCGGCTCTGGGACTCACCCAGCCCCTGCGGTGGGCGGATGCTCTCCCCGAGAAGAAACCGGGTTTGCCGATTTCACCGTGTTTGCAGAGCAGGCGGCGCATCCCTGGTGCTGTGGCTTCAGTCCCGCGGGGGGCAAAGAGCGCTGGGACGTCCGCGTGCGGCGCTCCACCAGCGGTGCTGCCCACGCGATCGGAGGTCCAGTTTGCACAAAGGTCGAGCACTGTGAGAGAAGAGGTGCAGCACTCGATGGAGCGCCTCAGGAAGCTGCAGCAGTAGACTTTCCCCTCGAAGAGCTTCACCCTGCGTTGTGGGACGGGAGGGACAGTTTCAGTTCTTCACACTCCGCAGAGATGGACGGCGGGAGAGAAACGAGCATCTCCGCCCTCCCCCGAACGCTCGGCGTGTACGCGTCCGCTTCAGAGGACGTGGCGTCCGTCTCTGACGATCTGTCCTTTGAGTGTCCTTCGGCGGACTTGGAACCGAACGTCTCGTCTCTCTTTTGCCAAGAGGACCAGACCGATTGGGACCAGACCGACGACGACGGGGACGAGCTGGAAGACTACGGGCGCTGTGACCTCCCCGACAGCATGGCGCCTCTCCGACAGTCTGAGGCCGTGAGCGGCTTTCATCACTGTGACACGTCCGCAACTCAGGAAACCTGCGCTACCTCCAAGCCGTCTCCACCTTCAGACCGCGGCTCTGAGCACCGCGGGGACGCGGGGTGTCTCCGTCCGGGAAACCTCCCGCTGAGCGACAGTTTCGCAGATTTCTGCTCGGCGCCCACGCGGGAGGATGGAGAGGGGTCGTGGGCGGAGTTCAAGGACCAGAGGCCTCTGGAGGAGAACCCTGGGACGCGGTCCAGAGAGCCAGGCAGCATCCTGCAGGACGGGGAGGGGGGCTGCGGGAGGAACAGCTGTCAGGTGGGAGGCTTTTTGTTTTCCGTTCTTGCTCCTATGAGGATACTTTGTTATTATTGGCCGGGACAAATTGTTTTATAAGAGCCGTCCTGGATTATGGATCCAGTTCCTGTCGTCATGTAGTATGTTTTTGTTCCTGTAACAACGACAAACAGTCTAAATGCGTCACAGGCAATGAAATAAAAGCTTAAAGCCAATCCAAAGGTCATCGTGGATGTTGATTTCTGCCCAGGCGTCACTGTCCTGCCGGATCCAGCAGCTTCTCCTGGCCAGTTTTCCGGAGGTAGAGGTCCCAGCTGTGGAAGGCGAGGAGGAGGTGCTCGCCCTCTGCGCTCTGCTTCACGCCCAACTCCTCCCTGAGGAGGAGGAGATGAAGAAGATACCTGAATTCTGCCCCACATACCAGTGGTGAGGATGATGAAGGTGGATAAGTAAACGGCAGTTTCCCCTCCCTCCTCTTCCCCGTCATCATCGTGTCTGAATGTCTTAGGACTCGGCGGCGGGTGTGGCGTCCTCATCAGGACCTCCACGATGCAGTCGGCCTCCGCTTTCAGTGGGGGGGTTCCCACACCCACAGGACGCTGCTCAGGTGCCTCGATGTGGAGACGAGGAACATCGTGAGTTTGGCAAAACCTTCGGCAGCATCTCCTGCTGCTTTGGGTGGAAGTTTAATTTAACTCTGCAGGGGATTCATGTGGTTAATTCCTATTAAAAAAACCAACCCTGACCATGTTGTATTCCCCCCACTCAGGGACTGCTGGAGCCCACCAAAGACTGTCCGGGCCCCGCGGGGGGATCCTCCCCGGCGCCTCCAGAGCCCTCAACAGATCCAACGCAGGTAGATTCATCTTTGCACTCATTGTATTACAGAACGAAATGCTGGCGCCCTAAAAGATGTTTAAGCTAAATACAGAAAAATAAGAGTCACAAGTTTGTGATTTCCTAGAGCGAAAAAGATAGAAGGGAAATATTTCCTATGAACCTCTTCTAAACATTGTGATTTATTACCTTTTCCTTTTTATTAAAAAAAAGTTCATGTGAATAATAGTTTATATGGGGACACATGCAGCTGCTTCGTGGCAGCCGCCCACCTGATGCATTTCCTGGTTAAAGTGACGGTTTGCAGATGTTGCCTCTTCTCTCCGTGTAGGAGGACCTTCCTCCCACCCAGCTGGCCTGGAGCAGCCGTGGCCTTAGCAGCTCCCTGGACGGTACGTCCCCCCGCCGAGCCCCCCACTTCTGGGGCTGGAAGTAGAGCCGGTATCACACGACCTCTGAGAGTCCCCTCTGGGCTCCTCCTCCTCACTTCCTGCTTCTTCTCTTTGTTTTCCTCGCCGTGTTTCCCCTGCGTCACTTCTCCCGTCCGGCGGAGACGGATCCAGTGTTGAAAGTCATGTGATAATTATCCTGATTAAGGGTTTTCAGGGGAAACATCGTGCCGGCTTCCCTTCTCCTCCTCCTCCATCTTCTCTGGTGTCCCGTCTTCACACAGACTTTATCTCAGTATTTATCAGCCGCGCCGTGATAGAAACACTGACGTGTTCAACCCACTGCGCATTAGTCCGGTAATGCTTGGATGGTTCTTTATCCAAAGAACCATTTTAATTGAGTCGACTGGTGGCCAAACGCTCCCGGTATCAATGTTCTCCCCGGTGCACGACGATGCGACACATATCAAAGGATTTCTGCTTTATTCAAAAGTGACTGTTTATTTGTTCTTTTCATGTCTGACAAAAAAAATGTATTCTTTGCTCAGGAATTTTCTTTTTTTATTATTGATAATCAGATTAAGTTCAATCAGTATTTATTCATAGAGGATTTCTAATTAATTGTAAAACGGCAAAAAATGATTGTTACAATTATTTGTCAGTTATTGAAAAATGATAAAGAACCGATCTCACAAACAAGATTAAAAATGAAACAATGAATTAATATCAGCATGAACTAGTTGTGTTGCAGCAGATAACAAGCTACTGGTAAAACCGTTTAAATCTAAATTCCTTTAGATATTAACTATAAGAGGGGCAAAAGAAAAACATGATTTAGATTGAAGTATTCAGCAACTAAAACAGAAGTATTTGCACTTCATACACGTGTATTCAGCTGTAGTCTTATATTTATTTATTTTTTCATACGGTTGTTTTATGAAATCTGTCTGTTTTGATTTATTATCATTATGTTTAATATGTGGCAGATTATTGTCATGAAAGAAATAATTGCTACTGCGGTCACTTTATGCTGCTATTATTTATTTGTTTGTTTTCATCTCCCTTTGCACCGACTCGGGTCACTTTCTGACCAATAAGACGACGTGTTCTATGTTTCAAATCACACCAGGAGTCACTCAGTATTTCATCTAACGCGTTTCCACCGCTGCAGTCTCAGTGTTTCACAATGACTTCATGAGGAGTTGTGCCTTTATGCCAGCAATTGTTTTCTAAAACACACCTTTATAGTTTGTGAACAGAAGTCTCTTGTTTTCTTCTGATTTACGGCTCAAAACCGCAGAGAGCAACATGTAGGAAATCCTTGTGAATACTGAAATAAATCCGTCCTCTGCTTGATTTCTCTTCCCTCGGCTTCTTTTCCTTGTTTGATGTTTTTCTCTGTGGTTGAAGTTCTTTTCTGAAGGCTCTCGTTTTAAAGTCTAATAAAACAAATGCTGAATCAGTGGTGAGATCCCTGAAACCAGATTTACAAAATGTATAATTAAATCCAAATATCATCATTCCTGGATAATTGATTGATTGAAAAAGCCTGTCAGTATTTATCGTTACAAATAAAAATTGGACAGCACTAATATTACAATTATTAAGAAATTGTAATATTAGATTCCAGCAGTGGCTTAAGTCAAGTACCAAAACTTTATTTATGTTGAAGAAGCTGACAAGTTGATTTATTAAGATAATAGTTTTAATATGCTGAATTTCCTATTTTTATTTGCAGATTTAGTTTGTGGAGTTGTTCCTTCTTTAAACAGAGGGGGTCTCAAATCTTAATCAAACCATATTAATGATAATCGGGGACTTTGTCCCGCCTCTAACTGGAAACTCGGGTAGATATCAATCAATTTGTCTGCTTACGCCCACAAAATCCAGCCAGGAGACCGATTGCCTGAACACTATAATATAATATAGTGTACTAGAATATAAAATACTCTCAGCTGGTTAAAACTGTTTTTTTTTTATTTGCTTGAGAAAAATCAAACTTGACAGTTGATTTTCTCCTATTTTTGCATTTAATTATGGTAACGGTCTTTAAATGTTTGGGCCCATTTTATTTCTGTGTGCAGATCCGTTCAGCGGCCTCTGATTATTAAAAGAAGTTCGACGCGACCCCCCCCCCCCCCAACGTCTTTGTCTGCCATGTTTCCTCACCGCCTGTCTCCCCTTGTTAGCGCAGACCGCTCTGCTCTCAACCTGGAGTGTTTTGGTCCTGAGGAGGAGAGCACATCCTCCAACAGCAGCCGCAGCGACAGCCCTCCTCCAGGTCAGATTTCATTCTGTCTTCTGTTGCTACATGCAGCTCGCGGCGTGGGTGTGTGAGTCACTAGTTGCGTGTCTGACACACAAACAATCACTCGCTGCCAAAGGAGTCGACCGCGAGCTGCACGAGTTGACCGTCGGCAAACTGGAATCCGGCGGTCAGACACACGACACTTTGGACTCTTTGGACCGCCTGATGTCCGCCACCAGCACGTCAGTCAGGTCAGTTTGTACCTTTTAATCTTCTTACAGCGCTCATGCATTGAAGCAGAAGTGTGAGTGTCTGCTTGTGTGTGTGTGTGTGTGTTTTCCGGTGTTCAGGAGGCCTCAGCAGAACGAGGAGGAGCTCAGTCATGAGGCCCTCATCCTCATCTCCACGCTGCCGAGCCTGTCCTTCATGCAGGCCAAGGTGCTCATGTTCCCAAGCGTCCTCCTTCCCAAGGATGCTGCCCGCCCAAACTAGCAGGCCAGGCTCAATCCGGGTCAAATGAAATGACTCCAGAGATCTAATCGAGCGCCGGAGAAACGCCAGTCATCGCCTTCAAACAGCTGATCGGAGACCGGACAAACTTGACGTGAAGTGCAAACAGGCGAGGTTTCAGACCGCATGAAGTTGCCGGGGAAACGGCAGCGGGACAGAAGAGGACGATCCCCCTCTGTCACCTTGGAGGACTTCTTACAATTTAAACATGGATTTCCTGATGGCACCGGTTTCTGCAGTGGAGGCAGATATTTATCTGCACAGTTGATCTTGCTGCTTCGGGGGAAACACTCCACCTTCCAGCTATATTCCGTATTTGTTTCCCCCCCGTGTCACCTCATGCATTAATTCCACTGATCAATAATCTGCAAAGTACAAAGAAAGAGGTTTAACACCAAGTATTGCTCATGTTGAAGTGAGTGTTGTGACACATTTCTTTTCTCTCGAGACTGGAGGCAAACTCACCAACTTCAATTATGTTTGATTGTGTATTTGTCTCATTATAAAACCTTCCCTCCTTTTCATGTTAAATTATTTAAATGATTTAAATAAATAAAAATGAATTAGTTGTGCATAAAGAAGTTGCCTTCATGATCATGCTTGACACATAAATATTTTTCATTTTTACTCCTATGGAAACTATATTTCTTCTGAAAGTACCGTTTCCTGGTATCAGTAGTCAATTGTTGTCCTCAACCTGAGTGAGCAGAAGAAAGGAGAATAAAACAATTTTAACGGCTTCAGAGGGCCTCTGTTATTATATTATCATTGTTGTTTATGTCAGTCGGCGCGGAACAGCTCGTCTTTGGAGGAAGTGACGTCTAAACATCGCAGTCACTTACCGGATGTGTGCAACACCCACACCCTTCCCTCCTCCTCCTCCTCCTCCTCCTGTCAGCCGGGTCGGTGTGCGTTCGTCCTTCCGGCTTGCCCGAAGAAAGTTGAGGGAGGTCCAGCGGCAACCGGGCTCTCACACAATGGACAGCCAGGGAAGGAAAGTGGTGGTCTGTGACAACGGGACCGGGGTGAGTGTCTGCGGTCAACGCGCCCGCAGAACGGCGCCGTTGATGTTAAACGATGCGCCCGAAACAGGAAGTGAGGCTGTCAGCGGCCAAGCTAGCTAGCTAGCTAGCTAGTGGGTGGGTAGCTAGCCTGTTAGCTCATTCTTCATTCATCCACACCCGAGGAGGAAATGGCACATACAGTGAAGCTAGAAGCGGAAGAAACAACCCCGACTGCCGCTCTCGAAGCGACGTAAACCCAGAAGGCAGACGAGTGACGATACGGGCTCATTCGTTTTAGCTAAGGCAGCTATTAGCAGCAAGTTAGCATCTCCAAACAGCTGGTTGTCTGCTTGTGTCTGCCAGCTGCGCGCCTCCGTTTCAGTCACTAGTTCAGGATTATATACGATAGTCAGTGTTCGTGCTGCATATTTAGTTAATTCTGCAGCATTGTGGGTAGTTGTTCTGTCAGCTACGTTAGCTAGCCGCTGTCAGGTTAACTGGGAAGCATTATTTTCCAGCTGCTTTGGTTTTATTGAATGAATTAACTTTTCTGCCCCGTTCAGCAAAGATCCTGGAGTGTGTTTGTGTTACGATGTTACTCATTGCACACAGGTAACGCTGCCCCGTTTAGACTACTTCCTTCTACCAAACCCCTCGGCAGTCAAAGAGGATGTTGGTTCAGCACGTCACTGCCTTGTGTCAGCTAGACGTAAATAAACCAAGAGGAAGCGAGAAGTCAAACAGCACCTTTTTATAGCCCTGATAACACCACAATCCTGTGTGAAATCTGACTGTTGAACTTTGCTTTGCACAGTTTCCTTTGCGGTACTTCACTCAGTAATTGTGAACATTTGCAGAGGCAGGATTGTGCAGAAATGGACGCTTTTGCACGCACAGGAGAAGGTGTTCATTATTTCATCACATAACTGTCCGGCTGAGCGACGTGCTCGGCCCTTGTGTTTATTACAGCGTCTGACCGTTCACACACACACACACAGCTGAGTTTTTTCTGTCCTACACCTACATGTAATTCTTCACTTCCTCTCTAGTTTGTCAAGTGCGGTTATGGAGGCTCCAACTTCCCAGAGCACATCTTCCCTGCGCTCGTGGGGAGGCCCATCATTCGCTCGACAGCCAAAGTCGGGAACATTGAGATCAAGGTAGGAGACCACTGATGAGACAGAACTATTATCTGTGCAGAAGCACGATGTGAAATGCAACACAACAGAGCAAAGTCACTTGAATGTCTGATTCCACTCTTTGCTGGAGACCCGTCGAGTTGTGCAATCTGCTGCATAATATAACGAATCCTCAGTAAGCTCGAGCAGAATGTTTTACACTTCGTCTGAGTCCAAACCACAGGATCTCTGCTGCATTCCTCCAAATATCATTTCATGAAGCCTATCGCTCCTGCTCTTTCCAATTCATTTCTTTATTCATCTTTTATTCTATTTATCTACCTTCCTCTTCATGGTTTGTTCCCCCCGATGAGGTAGAGCGCTGATGATGAAGATGAGTGTGCCTGGCCGGAGACTTCTGTCATCATTTTGATCTCAACCAACAAATGTCTTTTTTCCTTTTCACGTTACTTTAAATACTATTTTTTTACTCCCACAATGAGTTCCCTCTTCTTCCTCCCAGCTGGTTTCTGTTTGGTTAGTCGTGCAGCGTTGATGCCCCCCCCCCCCCCCTCTCACGTCTGTGATCAATCATCGGCCAGCTGTTATCAATGGAGAGCTAAGAGAGATTTTGGACCGATTCCACTCTCGGAGTCTCTGATCTTCTGGCGCGTCTTAACGGCTAAACTAGCTCCCCCCACCCCCCTAATCTAGTGTATTGAAATGGGTCAGAGGACTATTTACCTCGCTGTGATGACAGCGCAAACATGTCTAATTTACGGAAAGGTCCCCTTGCGCCTCCGTAGAGGATGGTGCAGAGGAGGTGTCCACACTCGACGGCTCATGGCAAACAGCTGAGAGCCAGAGATGGAAGCACATCTGTTTTCCTTTTCTTTCCTCGTTTTTTTTTATTGAGGCCACGCCTGAGACTGGTACTCCGTAGACGCCACGTCACTCAGGACCAACCTGTGAAATGGCGGCCAGCAGCAGGCTTTAGATGTCTCCAGGTGGAACGGAGCAGCTTGACTGTGTGTTTAACGCGCTGTTGTTTACGCTGCCAGGCTGCCGCTGTACGTGTAGTTGAATGGCGCTAAAACAAGTGGTCTACCGTTGCCAGAGGGATGATGAAGTGTGTGCAGGAGTAGATGAATAGGAAGATAATGGCCTGTTGAGCATGCTGGGTAACTGAGTTCTAAAGTTACACAGCTTTACAGATGACTCGGTTTCTCTGACTTAATGAGCCCAGCAGGCCACGTGAAAACAACTATGCTCTCTGCCCTTCCCGATGACCTCTTGACCTCTCCCTGCAGGACCTGATGGTGGGCGACGAGGCCAGCGAGCTGCGCTCCATGCTGGAGGTCAACTACCCGATGGAGAACGGCATCGTCAGGAACTGGGACGACATGAAGCACCTGTGGGACTACACCTTCGGCCCGGAGAAGCTCAATATCGACTCCCGCAACTGCAAGATCCTCCTGACTGAGCCGCCCATGAACCCCACCAAGAACCGTGAGAAGATCATCGAGGTGTGTGCGTGTGTGTGCGTGCAGCTAGAAGATATTTTACTAGTTGTGGGGCGAAAATAAAGGTCTAATTGGCGAGTTTATTTCTCTCCGTGAGGCGGAAGATGTCTCCACACGCTGTCATATAATGAGCCGGTTTACATCCTCTGTGATCTGGTTCCAACAGCATGTTGTTCGTCTCAGCCGGGTCGAGTTGCAGTGATTTAACGCCTGAATGGTTTTCACAGAGAAACGGCGTATTAAAGAGAACCTGCTTCACAAACCGGGCGGATGTTTTGCCTTCTGTTGTTCAACACGGAGAATATCTTTTGCATCACGGCTAACATCACATTTAATCACTTTGCTATTTTCTGGCTTCTCCTGCAGGTGATGTTTGAGACCTACCAGTTTTCAGGAGTCTACATTGCCATCCAAGCTGTGCTGACTCTCTACGCCCAAGGTGAGAGGTCACAGCAGCATTCTGCTCCTCCTCATCGCTCAGATCTCCAGGCAGCATCACAGCAAACGTCTCACCCACCAGAGGACGTCTCCTGAGCCCAGACAGATGTCTAAACAACGTCGTCACTGGCTCACACATGAACGTATTTTCTGCTTCTCTGTTGAAATGTTGTTGGGAACTCGAGCCTTCTTCAAACAGTTTGTGCAAATATTTGATTTTATGAGGCTGATATCGGATCCGTTATTGTTTGTGGCAGAAAGTCACGTGACCACGACTCGGATCAGGTCTTTGGGATTCAGCCGCTATCGAGCTGATGCCGGAGTTTAATCACTAGACTGTGTGTGGGGAAAGCACACAGGTATATTATCGTGTGTGTGTGTGTGTGTGTGTGTGTGTGTGTTAGGCCTTCTGACCGGCGTGGTGGTGGACTCGGGGGACGGTGTGACACACATCTGTCCGGTCTACGAGGGCTTCAGTCTGCCGCATCTGACGAGGCGGCTGGACATCGCTGGCAGGGACATCACCCGCTACCTCATCAAGGTACTATTATGTTTTATTACTAATCATGATTCTGTTGTTTCTTGCTTTTATAAACTTTGGCACAATAAATTCCTTCAGAATAAAGTTCTACCGTATCTTTTAAATCTGTATGTTTTGGAAACTCGCCTCATTCTGCTACGGTATAGTTCTAGTGTGTAATTGTAAGGTTTCTTTGGTTAAAAGGAAAGTGACATCATGCTCTTAGTAAAATAGCAGAAGTAACTGGACCCTCTAGTTCCTGTTAAAATACATTGCCCCCCCCCCCCCCCCCCAGCTGCTGTTGCTGAGGGGCTACGCCTTCAACCACTCGGCGGACTTTGAGACTGTGCGCATGATGAAGGAGAAGCTGTGCTACGTGGGCTACAACATCGAGCAGGAGCAGAAGCTGGCGCTGGAGACCACCGTGCTGGTGGAGTCCTACACGGTTTGTCTGCATGTGGACGCTTCACCTCATACTTAATATTTAATATATATTCACATTTAATACGGCGCACTTTGTAACGTCTGCAGTGCAGGATGAGGCCTCTGTGACGTCATCACGGACGACCTGCGCTTTAGATACGACGAGTCACATGAGGACCAAAGAAATGTCCTCGTGTGTCCTCTCGCTGTCCCAAGAGGATTTAGACAGAAAAATACCTTTTAAAGAAAGAGAAAGAACTTAATCAGGAGTCAGAATATGAGGATGAGGACAACCACTTTATCTTTTAACATGACTTTACATTCAGCCTGCTCAGTAAATGGGGGGCTTTGTGAGTCCGTCCATCCCTCCCAAAGGATCAGTTGTTCTACCAAGTGGCCAAATTATCAATCAAAACTAATGAAGGAACCAAACCTGCGCTGAGTGGACGTCCTCTGGGGCTCCAACACTCGAGCTCCGGCTTGCTTTTCTTTCCACCCCCCCCACACTCGTACAGACGGAGCCACAGAATATAAACTCAGGTCCCAAAAGTCTGCGTGACACCTCGTGTTGCGTCTCAGCGCTCACCCACCGTGTGTGTGTTTGGGTTAGCGTGGGCGCACACACACACACACACACACACACACACACGTGTACGTTGAGCGGGTGAGGAAAACAAGGAGGGCAATGTAGCCGCGGCTGAAAGGGCCCTGAACTGCATGTTACATCATTTCCTGTGCAGCCGCTCTGAATGATCCTTTTAATAGCTGCACACGTCCTGCTCTAAAGAGGCGGGGCTAAACTACCCGTCAGTCAAACTGCACGTCCAGCTTTAAAGGAAAAGCTTTATCGAAGTTCTGACTGAATCGACATGTTTGAGTCAGCGAGTCCCGCCTCCTCAGCCATCGTCACGCTTCTTCTTGTCTCGTCGCTCCCACGCGTCTCCAGCTGCCAGATGGCCGTTTGATCAAAGTGGGGGGCGAGCGGTTCGAGGCCCCCGAGGCTCTGTTCCAGCCCCACCTCATCAACGTGGAGGGCGTCGGAGTGGCCGAGCTCCTCTTCAACACCATCCAGGCGGCCGACATAGACACCAGGTGAGGGCTCCTCCTCCGGGGGAACACGCACACACATGTGTAAATCATTCCCGCTGTGTTGAAAGTACGAAAAGTGATTAATTAGCATTTAAAAGTGTGGAATATCTCCCACAAACGTACGGATGGAATCCAATGAGTCATAATTCTTATTGTATGTTGCTGTGGATAAAAGTGTGATAAATAAATGTAAACGTAGTCATTTTTAATTCCCCCCCTCTAATGTGATCAGGTCTGATTTCTACAAGCACATCGTCCTGTCGGGGGGGTCCACCATGTACCCCGGCCTGCCGTCTCGGCTGGAGAGGGAGCTGAAGCAGTTGTACCTGGAGCGCGTGCTGAAGGGAGACGTGGACAAGCTTTCGGTGAGACGCCCTGTTTCACAGTGTGACTGTTGGCTGGGAGGAGCCTGACGGAGGAGCCTGACGGAGGAGCGAACACCTCCCAGACAGCGGGTCAACCTGACGCTCTCCTTCGTAGATTTAAGAGAAACATGTTTTTGCATTGAGCGTGACTGAAGCTGTGTTCTCAGACGGCCACCAGGGGGCAGCGCAGGTCAACAGACATGCACCTTTGGGGGGGGGGGCACCCTTGCACAGTTTGTGTCTTTGGAATGGAAGCTTTTCTACGTTGTTACACACACACACTATATATATATATATATATATATGAGTTTGAGTTATAATTATGCAGAAGGTCAGTTTGCAGCTCTGTTGTTTAAAAGCATCATTGGTGGATTATTATTATTAAAGTCCAAACTGACGAGAAACTTAAAGAGGAACAGAAACCCAAAGACATTTCCTTTTGTTTCCCCCCCCCTGTAGAAATTCAAGATCCGGATCGAGGACCCCCCCAGGCGGAAGCACATGGTGTTTCTGGGCGGAGCCGTGCTAGCCGACATCATGAAGGACAAGGACAACTTCTGGCTGACCCGCGAGGAGTACCAGGAGAAAGGAGTCCGCGTGCTGGAGAAACTCGGAGTCACCGTCAGATAAAGCAGCGGACGGACACACGCACACACACACGTGTGTACATTTTATATATATATATATATTCATCCATCCCTCTTCCCTCGGCTGTGGATTCAGTGGGAATCCAGCCGTCTCCTCCTCCTTTCTCCCGGTTTGGGATCTTCACTGAAACGGCCAAAAGGGTTCACGTTGTCCTGCTGGTGCGTGTTTTCTATATCTTTTTGGGGATAACTCATGCAGAACGTTTTTCAAAGAATCTATCAAGTGGCCGCCGCAACAACAACAACAACAACAACAATAACTATCACCTTCTTTCTTTGTTCTTTTTAATAACATTTACAATAACAATAACGTTATTTTTTTCCTTAATTTCTGTTCTGGAGAGGGCTACTTTTTAAAATTCTGCTTTGACTTTGTGATTTTTCCATTGCAAATGGTAGAAGTGCAGCACGCTCCGATAGTCGTGGGAACGAGCGCCTCCATGTCGGTTTGTCTTTTAAAATGAAGAACTGGTTCATCTACAAAGGGACAAATAGACAAAAGGAAGCTTGAGGTTGAGTGTGACGGTACTTTTTTTTTTTTTTGTGTGGGGGGGGGGGGGGGGGGGTAGGTGATGATGATGATGATATTTGTTCATCAGTCGCCTCGATCCATCTGGATTAACAAACGGTTGAAATGCCGTTGATCGTATTTAAGTCCTCCGGTTCCTCAGGTCACTGGAGGTGCTTCTATTTTGAGTATTAAAAACGTGTATATTTTTATTTTTTCCTCTTTCCATGAACTAATATCCGGTGCCAAGAGCAGTTAACGTTAACTGGATCCGTTTTAACGTCTTTTCTTTTATCTCACTTGCTTTTATTTTCCCGTGTTGTTCAGAACTGCCTAACGCTGATTTAATAAAGAAAAGGGATTTATAAAGTTTGTGTCCTTAAGTTATACGAGTAAAATCTCTCGTCAGAAGGCTGCTTTTCATTTTCATAGTTGATTCGTGTTCTTCATAGTTTGTTCTAGAACTTTTTTATTCAATTTTGACAAGTTGACGTTTTCAAATGACATTTTGTACTAATAATTTTCTCGCTCTCATTCCATCTGTATTTTAGTTTGGAACCTCGTTTCTATTTCGACTTAAGGATTGTGGCAAAAGAGCATAACGTGTCCACTCTATGGTTTCACTTCATTCAGTTCTAAATTTAAATTGTTGCAATAAAAATGAATCCCACGCGCAATCTGTGCACAGATGAGTCTCGTTGCCCGGCAACCGCCACCCACCCAACAGAGATAAAGCGCGAAGGACCACGTGGTCGCGCATTAAAATGCTTGCGGATGACGAAATGAAGACGAGTGAGCCGGAATCAGTGGATCATAAATAGTTGTGTAACAAGTCGTCTTCGTCCGGAGGAACAAAGTCCGGAAAAAAAGAACCGAGACACAAAGTAAATCCTGAAACCAGCGGCAACGTAGTTTTCCTTTCTTCCGCTGCGGTTTGAGACGCAACGTGAATATTAAGACATTTAAGGAGACGTTTGAAAGAAAAAAACATATCATGAGCACAAAGTTGTGCTCAGAATTTTGGTAGAAAATTTTAATTTGAACTGTTTGAAATTAAACCGCGTCTTGAAGCATTTAGTTGCTGTGGAATGGATTTTAATCTTTGCGCCTTAAACATTTAGGCCGGTATTGAGTATTTTTGTTTTGTCTCATCGTGTTTCTTTTGTCAACAATAAAAGACATTAAATATTGTATCACACTTTCCTTTTGCTCGATGTGGAATCATCACAAAATATACTCGACATAAGACGAAGAAAACGCACAAAATTCTCTGGTTTAGGATTCGGGAAGCGTCGACCTCAGAATAAGAGAAAGAAGGAGGCCGTGAGAGGAGAGCATGAGGGCACGAAGGTGACGGAGGAGGAAATGTGGGAGGACTGGCGCCACCTGAGGAAAGAGGCTCTCGCTCTCTTTCCGAGCCCGAAATAAAGATCTCAGCCACGACTCTTCCGGCCTCGTTCCATTTTTAATCCCTGACAGCTTCCTTCTCGACCTCTGAGCCCCCCGAACAGACCCAACAAAAGGCACCACGGCTGACAGATGTTATTCTTACGTGAACGTGAAACACAACTTCAGATGAATTAGATACGTTTTGCTTTTGAATCTCAACAAACATTTTTCAAGTGCGTGAAGCAAAAAGCATTGTTTTTCCAGACTGTTGGACTTCATGTTTCAGCTTTTGGTGCAAACTTCTACGACAACATCCTGCTCTCTGCAGCATGGTTCAGAACATCTGGACCCGGCGGAGAAGATGATGATCAACGCTCGCTGGGGGGCTCACGTGTGGGGCGAGAGGAGAGGAGGAGGAACACGGAGGAGCTGCTCCTCAGGACATAACGGGGCCCTCGTGGCCTCTCCGGGGGCTCTAAGTGTTTGCACATGTGGACTTGGATGCTGAGCTGCTTCGCAGGCTCCCAGAAGCCCTCAGGACCCCCCCCCCCCATGATTATTGCCCACATGCTTTTCCACAGACATCCTGAGTGGAGCAGCTCGATGGATTTCACATGTTCCTGCACAGACGGCTCGTTTCATTCGACGCTTCACACCAAACTCAGTGACTTCAGGCCTTGACGGATACTTTTCATTCCACAATATTTAACTACTTTATTTCTCCTTAAAGTTTAAAAACGAGTTTATTTTGCATGGATTCAAACTATTTGATAAAGGCTTACGAGTCTTGTTGAAAATATACTTTCGATAAAACATGTTGGAATGTTGGAAAATGAAGCAGCAATTTCACTGTTTTCTCTCGTTTTATTGGAGGCCGAAGGGAAGACGCACACTTCACCTTATTCTCTCACACACCTGCTTCCCCCTTCGGTACAAAGTACTTCCTGTTCCTCCTCGGAAGCTACATCCATCGTACATGTTAGAAACAGTCATTTAAAAAAAAAATACAAATAAAAATGTACAACATACACTTGATATATATATATATATATAATATCTGCTCTTTTTTTACAGAGGTAAAAATACTAAGCGTAAAAAAATGGGTCTAATTCAGTACAGGGATTTGTCTTAAATTTTTCAATTCAAATAGGAGATAAACAGGATGCGTTCAGGCACTTGTTAATGGCTCGGACATGAGAGAACACACTCAGACGCAACACGACACACACACACACACACACACACACACAAAATGAGCTGTGGCAGGTGTGTGTGACTCCTCCCAATCGGATTGGTCCCGTCCCCGATGCGTGGGACCATCTGAAGATCTGATTATACTGGGTAGGTGTCGGTACATTCAGATGATCCCAGTAGCTCCACATGGAGGAGCAGGAGAGGGACGTGGGATAAACACACACACACACACACACACACACACACACACACACACTGGTACAGAGGACAGGATGTGTGCGACAGACATCCTCAGGCACTCTGCGTTTCCACTACAGTCGGAGACATTTCTTGGCAGCGGTGGACGTTTGTCTCCAGCGGGACCTCAGCGCTTCCCGGATGTTTGTTCTATTAATGCTTCAAAGTTCGCCGCGGCCCGACCACGCAGACGGAGGTCAAAGGTGTGGTTGGCCCACTGCTGCCGACGCGCAGGTGGGATGACGCTAAACTCAGCTTAGCATAATGCTAATCTAGATTTTGTATATTGTAGCTAGCTAGACCTGAATCCTCGCAGGGTGATGATTGTTCCAGCAGCTAGCATCAGATATTAGCGTCGGCTTGAGCTTTTAGCTCCAGCTATTAGCATTGTGAAAGACTTTTTTTGGTTAAAATATTCACTTTTCTTTCCTTTGGCAAACGAGCAGCGTGTAGCAGGACCCATGAGCACCTGGTACACAGATGTAACGCGTTCAAGAAGCACCAGCATGTGGATTTTGTCACAGTTGGACGGAGCCATGGCGGATTTCTGGTGTTTATGCTAAGCTAGCTAAGCTAAGTGTCTCTCATTGAACTGTGGGAACAGATTATTCCTGTTACCACTCAAGAAAAAAAGATAAGACAACGTTGAAAACTGATTCGTTTGGTAAAAGAAATCTTTTTATACACATTTTAACTAGAAAAGAGATTCTGAAGACTTTTTATATAATTTAACGCGTCTGTTGGACTGGACGTTGCTACCGGAGGACGCTGCTCTGAGGCGCTGATTGTACATCGCAAACAAACTGGACTTCACGCACTCTTCATCACGGAAAGAGTTGAAAACCTCCGAAAGTCTTCTCGCCGCGGCGACGTCTTCGGGGGGCGAAGATGGCGGCCGGACTCCACGTTTTAAGGCATAAAGGGGCACCGAGGTTTAGCGGCTTTCCGGTGGATTTCAGTGACCTTTAGAACACTTTTGGGTGACGGTCGAGTAGAACAAGCCCCCAAAGAGTCGAGGCACTGATGAGAGAACGGGGGGGGGGGGGGCAGGACCCTCTCCTCCTGCTGGTGGATCAATTCAGTGAGAAAACGAGTAATAAAAACAGGAATCTTTGGGATATTAGATTAAGATGAGTACCACGGTTGTGTGTCGACCATCAGCAGCAGCGCACACAATGAGAGGCCTCAGCGCACACACACATACCATCCACACGCACACACACACACTACACACACACGTAAAGAAGTTTAGTGTCTGGTTCTCTGCAGCTGGCGTTGAGCTCAGCGGGCCTGATGTTGGAGTAGAATACAAACACAAAATGGCCCTCGCTTACATCAAAAGAAGAACAAAACAGAACAAAGAAACAATTCAAGTTCTTTGACGCCGATATCAGTGTACAAAGTATAAAGTACCTGCATATGTGATACATGACATATAGGTCAGCTATAGAGTGAAAAAGAGAGAAGCGTCTGCCGCGAGGAGAGCTTATCTTCCCCGGCCGCTCACCAAATGCACCAACTGTTAATCCATTTTGGCTTATTTCAGTGTCTGGAATTGGTAGAGAATCCCAGAGAACCCCCGTCCCCCCGTCCCCCCGTCCTTCCCTTTCCCTGTGCTTGCGTTGGGTTGTGTGTCTTTGTCCCGCTCAGCTCAGCGCTTTGTGCCGCCCCCCGCAGCAGCCGCAGCGGAGCGCCGCCCGGTGGCAGGCGTGCAGGGGCGGGTAGAGGCAGAGGCAGGGCGCCACCAGAGACAAGCCGAGCAGAGCCAGCCAGCGCGAGCCCAACCGGCCGCCGCCGCCGCCTCCCCCCCCTCCCCCTCCGCCACCGCCCTCGCCCCTGTCGCAGGAGCAGGGGTCCGAGTAGTCCCCCTCCGGGTCGGACATGCAGTGGTAGAGCATGGTGTCCGCCAGCCACATGCAGCTGACCCTGCGGACGCAGGCCCCCACGGGGTCCGGCGCGTCGTGGCACCGCCCCCTCCGGTTGGCGGCCACGTAAAAGGCCTCGCCGCAGTGCTCGCACTGGGCGCGCTCCGGCTCGTCCTTCCGCCCCTTGCCGCCGTTTGCGGAGTGGGAGGAGCTTGGCAGGAAGGAGCGGGGCTGGGCGGACACCACGCACGCGGGGACGCCCTGCCGGTAGGCGCCGCCGTGGCCCTTGTTGTCCAGAGGGCCGAGGGCGGGGTCGGAGTCCGAGGGCGAGAGGGCCGGCGCCAGCGGGTAGGTGTAGTCGTGCTTCCGCGCCTCCGTCTTGGCGAAGTGGACGTAGGACTCGGAGTCGTCCGCCTGGATGAACTTGTCGCGCACGGTGGCGTGCCGGTAGTCCTCGTAGCCTTTGAGCAAAGGGCGGTGCGACGGGTGCCCGTAGTGGCGCTCGGCGGTCCGCTCCCAGCTGCGCTCCCGGGGGTTGATGCGGACGATTTCATCGTCTTCGTGAAAGGTGACTTGGCGAGGACGCCGAGACAGCGGCTGGAGAGAAAGACCAGTAGTTATGTGTATGAACGTCTCGATCTAGACGATTAAGACACACCAGGAAACTGGACGTCCTTCCCCCACCTGGTCCGGGACGTAGGGGTCCGACAGCTGGTAGGGGTCGTGGAGGTCGTGGCGATGTCCCTGCATGCACCGGTGTCTCTGTGGAGGGGGCGAGGGCTCCGGCGGCTCCAGTTTCTGGGAGGAGTTGGACGAGCTGTCTGTGGTGCTCTGAGGACACAAACAAACACAGGATGCCGGCTAAAAAGCTGCGCTGTGATTGGACGAGCCGGACAAACGGTTGGTGCGCCGTGATGGGACGACAAAAACAGGAGGCCTTCGGCGCAGCTCGGATTGGGAAAACAGGAAGTCCCCTGATCCATGTTTGGGTCTTTGTGGGCGAGTTAAAATATAAAAAACAACATCGTTGCTGTCAAACTAAAATTCAGATGAGGCAGCACAATAAAAGCTGAAGATATAAACGTATGAACGCCTCTGCAGCCGATCACGCTCATCACCTGGTTACCTGTGGGCGTGTCCATGCATAGAGGAGCGTACAGCACAACGCTTCGGACCGATCCAGCGGACGTTTTACTGGATGAGTCGCTGTGGAAATGTCGCCGAAAAATGGTTCCATCCACCAAAAGGTGGCTGACGTTTGAAATAATTTGATCGTTTCTATATTATGACCTACGAAACCAACAATAGGACCTAATCGACCAGAACTAAATATCCAACCGACTCCGTCTGTCTGTCTGTCTGTCTGTCTCCGTCTGTCTGTCTGTCTCTCTGCTGGAGCTGTCCCCGTTTTATTCGGCTCCCCACATGGATGCCGCCATGCTGAGAATTCCCCCCCCCGGCTTTCTTACAAAGCCCTCAGAGCAGCCGACCAAAAAT